AGTTTCAACACAATTTATCCTTTTTGGAGGATCAAGTACTCGGATGTTAATAAAATTCTTCCTGGAAGAATAGTAGAAGAGTAGTGTTTGTCCCTTGGAAATCTCCCCATACATTGTCGAGGTGAGATGCAGATTAGAATCAATTTGTTTTCGGTTTGAAAACTGATAACTTGACCCAGTAAGATTTGGTTTTTTTTTTCTTCTGAAGATGAATTCCGACCAGAATTGTTGTCAATAATGTTGGGCCTTTTGTCTTGATTGAAATGGTTGACCTTACCCTCCAAATCCAAAGATTTGCCAACAACATTCTTTTCCACTTTGGTGTCATCTTTCACACCAATACATCTACTAACACACTCATTATCAAGACCATCTCCTTCTTTTCTTTTTTCTTTCCTAACTTTCTTTCTTATTCATCTTCTTCCTTCCCAAACTGAACAAAGTCTCTAAACCTCTCATCCTCTGTTGTAACCACAAGTGCATCATCAACAAAGTCATGAGACCAATCCAATCTAGAGGTCACCTCCTTAAGTTTTTATTGAAACTCTTTGTTGTTGGGATCAATCTTAATTTCTTGTGCAAGATCCATGAAAGCTAAGTCGGGTTTGTTTAGCTCTAAATTAAAACTGCTGCCGCTCTTCTAAAGTAAGCTTTCACATTTGAGATATTATAACACAACACCGCCGAATCCACCTTGTCAAAGTTTCTTTCTTTGACATAACATGTACCTAAGTTCAAATTAAGAGACACATCAAGGTTTGAAAAAACTAATGTATCCTTATCATTACAAACCAGAACAAAAGACAAGAACTTAAGTGCAAAAGAGTATTTTGCAATGGCTAAAACCATATTACTCTACTTGTACAGCTGGTTATCCTCATCTTTTAAACTACTAACAAATTTTAGAATACCAAAAGGATTCTCCAAGTCCCCAACTATTTTCTCAAACTTACGAGAAGGTTTGAGGTAAAAACTAATAGTTTTATATTACTCCTATTAATATTTAATATTTACCTTCAATATGCTACAAGAAATTTTATATTTGAACTATTTATTCTATTACTTGTATTCTTTTTTTATTTTTTTTATTTTTTTATAGATATTACTCGTATTCACAATAGGCATTAGAGTTAGTCTTAAGTACTCTTGGAGTATGGTACTCCTTGGGTACCATACTATCAAGCTATACACGTTATTCTGTTAAAGCCATGAGTTATTTTGGATTGAACCTTATATTATTTTGCTAAACTATAATGTTATTTGCTTAAATATTGTGTTAGTATTTATTATATTAGCCTTTTTTTTTTTTGTTAAAATATTGAATTGTGTTATTTTGGTTTAAATCATATGACGATCTTTTTAAGTATGAGGTTATTTTGCTTAAACTTGGTGTTATTTTTTTTAGTATAACTTATTTTTTATATTAATTAAACATTGTATTATTATTATTATTTCTTTTTTGCCAAAAATTTGTGTTATTTTATTTAAACTTATTTTAGAGGAAGTAGCTAAATAAAAATAGAGAATAAAATCGAAAGAGATGATTATGGCCCGGTGAACATAGCATATAGTATCAAGAAATTGCGTAGGCGTTAAACACAGACACATACAGGGGTGAGAATCGATCCCAAAATCTCCGGGAATCGGGAGGAATGCTCTAACCACTTGAGCTATCCCTCACTCTCAATTTTTTTTTTTAATAATGTAATACGAGTACAAATTATAATCTAAAAACTTATGGATAATGTAACATTAAAATTTCTTAAAGTACTATAGTAGGCTCTTTCTTTCAAAGAAAAAGAGTGGACGTTTTTCCAAAGTGAGCCAATTTTGGCAAATATTAACCAAAATGGTTGCGTGGCAAAAGTATTTACCAAACTAAGCTTCCAGGCTAAAACGCTGTCTCGGTCAGCGTTTTATGCCTGGGTTTTTTTTTAAAAAAAATCAACCTAAAAACGCTGTCTGGGACAGCGTGTTGTTGACCTTTTTTTTTTAAATTTTTGTAATTGCCTTTTATTTATAAAAATGTTTTTAAAAAACAAAAACAGTTATACCAAAGACGTTGTCCCAGACAGCGCTTTATGTACAAACTTCCTTGTACCTAAAACGCTGTCTCAGACAGCGTCTTATTTTTAACCTAAAGACAGCGTTTCTCTGCTGGTGTGCAAAACTGCAGCAGAATCAGCCTTTTGCCACTGATCTGCCACTTTCTTCTGCCCCCACCCACCACCCCCTGCCATGATTCTTGCCACCACAATCCACCAACAACCCCCACCATCGACCACCATCTGCCACCACTTTTGACCTCCAACAACACTTCAACCAGCTCCACCACCAACCCCAACCATTCAACAACCGTCGATAACCACCCACCACAACCAACAACACTAAAACCACCATGAACAACCACATTAACCACCACGGGCCATCCTTTCTTCCCCATTTTCGACTATGGATTCCAAATGTCTGTTGTTTAATGTACATTAGCCCTGAAGGATCTATTTTGACTGACATAAATCCGATTTGGATAAATAAGCAAACAAAACTTCAAAACACAAACAGATTCATTCAACCAGCATGTCTTATATTGATAATGCAATCGTTATATACAACATTCCAGGAAAAAGGACAAAACAATGATACAATACGTTCACTACTCATCAATTTGGTGTAACCCTTCCCTAGCCTCACTGTCGTCCCTTCGTCTTGGACGACGCCGAGTGTAATGGTGAATGGGTTCCAGCGCGGGGGGGGGGGGGGACTGAGCTGGCTGGATGATGCGTCCTCCTGGGTTATGAAGGGTGCAGAACTGTGGAAGATGTACTCCTCTGCCTCTGTGTGCGACGTAGGATCACCTCCACTGCTACTCTGGCCGGGGTCGAACCGCGAATGGATGGAGTGACCATCATCACCGTCCCGCTGTTGGATGAGATGACCGTGACCATGTCTGCGTAAGGAAGTCGCGGACATATCTCGCATCCGCTGGACCTGGGCTCTGGTGGGTCCGTCTGTAAGGGCGAGGGACAATGCATCATACATCGCCACCATATCCGCCGCCTGTAGTAATCATCGATCAGCCAAGTACATGATATTTAAAAAAGTTAAAAAATGAGGATGATAAGTATAGTAAAAGAAACTCACATATCCGCTAATGACGTCATGTGCCGGGTGGTAATGGGTGGACGGTGGTGTGTAGCTGGGGTTGATGAAACGGCGTGTGATAAGCCTGTGTAGGTTCATCATCCCTCTCTCCGTTCTCGTCCTCATCATCCATTTCCGCATACACATCATACACCGACAATTCATTATTCACAACATCATCAAAATGATTTGGCTCTTCTCAAAACGGTGAACCATCATCACCTTGCATAGGAGAGTAGCTATGCAATTGCATCGGCGAAGATGCCACGGTGTTCGATGACGACGGAGCAGGCTGGCCGAACACTGTCACGCGTCCCCCCGCATGTACTGGTGAAGCTATATGAGAACTAAAAGGCAAGTGAAATTGGTCGTCCTGCATCATTCGAGTGAAAGAACCCATCCCATATGCATTCGATGGAATGTGGTTTGCGGGCTCTTGGAAGGACGCGGTGTTGTAATCAGAGACATATGTAGCTTGCTGTTCTGCCCGAGTACTTTGTTGGGTACATATAGGCACTGTTTCTACATATATCTCATTGGGAAAACCCTTCATTCCTACCATGCTCCTCAAACCTTTCAAATGTCTGTTCGTAGAGACAGGTAACACTTGCACCCCATGACCAGTATCACACCTCATTTTAAGGTTCAGTTCAACAGTCATAGGGTTTGAACCAATACAACTGTGAACCTCATTCATCAGATCAGTCACAGTCATGTTCGGTTCAAGTGTTATAAGGTCCATATTCCCTCCACTGTACTCCACATTTGATCCATTACACAAAATTTCACCTCCCCATCGACATAACAACGCTACATTTTGTCCAGCCATATTCTACATAACAACCAAAACACATTTTACGTAAAGCCGTTAAATCATCCCTAAATCACCACAATCAAACAAAATTTTTTTACATACTATACAAATTAACTACTAAGAACCCCTAAATCACCATTATTACACAACAATGTAGGTAATTACAATTGTTCAAAACCTAATAATTATCAACCATTGTCAACAATTTTCAACAAAACCAACAACAACAATTCAACATTATCCAAACTATTATCAACACTAACAATATCAACACTACCATTATCAACACTAACAATTCAACAATTACCAACACTAATAATTCAACAATACCAACACTAACAATTTAACATTTTTAACACTAACAACTCAACCTCATCAACATTTTAACCCAATTCCAAAAAAATTAGAAATCACCAACATAAACCCTAGAATTTAAAACACAAAGAAAGTTGAATGAATACCTATTTTAGGGTGAGGGGAGTGTATAGTGGGCTACACGGAGGGCGACGGTGGAGGTGACGGCGGGCGACGGTGGAGGTGGCGGCGCCGGCGGCGGTCTATACGGAGGAGCACAAGTATGAGAGAAAGGGGGATTAAGTTAGAGTTTGGGAAAGAAGGGGTTTGAGAATGAAGGAGGAGGAAATGAAAGGATGAAATACGCTGTTGCAGGAAAAAAAAAACGACAGAAACGCTGTCTCAGACAACGTTTCATTAATAACCTTAAACGCTGTCTGAGACAGCGTTTATAGTTCCAGAGTTAAACGCTGTCTGGGACAGCGTCTTTGGTATAACTGTTTTTGTTTTTTAAAAACATTTTTATAAATAAAAGACAATTACAAAATTTTTTTTAAAAAAAGGTCAACAACAAAGATGCTGTCCCAAACAACGTTTTTAGGTTGATTTTATTTTAAAAAAAACCCAGGCATAAAACGCGGACCGAGACAGCGTTTTAGCCTGAAAGCTTAGTTTGGTAAATACTTTTGCCACGCAACCATTTTGGTTAATATTTGCCAAAATTGGCTCACTTTGGAAAAACGTCCAAAAAAGTACTATAGTAGGCAATCTAGTATTGACCCCACCTGTGATGGTTACAATGAACTACCACCACCAAAAAAAAAAAAGAAAAAACCCCCACAAAATGTAGTAATTTCGATCTATTCCCTCATCTTTGGCCTATGGCTAAGAACGAAGAACCAAACTAAGCTGCAAAATTGGTGAAGAAATGGTAACTGCTACAGCAACTTCAATTCCTGTGCTTCAATCTCCTTTTATCTGTTCATCTCACAAATTATCTTCTTTTAATTCTTCTTCTTTGTTAACCTTTAATTCACCCAAAAATCGATGCTCTCGCACTTCATATCCATGCATTCGAGCTGCCGATCTTGATCAAAATACAGTATGTAATAAATTAATCAATCATCTGTTTTACTATTGTTACTTGTGTTTGTTTTATAATGATAGCATTAAATTTTGCAGATAATTGCAATTTCAGTGGGAGTTGTGAGTGTTGGTATTGGGATTGGTATTCCTGTCTTTTATGAAACACAAATTGACAATGCTGTAAGTTTCTTCTTCTTTTTATTTTATTTATTTTTTATTTTTTTTATTTTTCTTTTATGGGTTTTTATTTTTGGATAATGATAATATTATTAGTACTATTATTTATAAGCAATCATAGAAGTGGCTGCTTGTTCAACTCTCGTTCTTGGGACTTTGTGGATTATGCACCAGTTCAACTCTTTAGCCAAGTTTCTGATTTCTGCTCTGGTCAAGAGCAAGCTTTTTGTCTTTGTTGTTTCTGTCTTGAAAGAGCATACCTAAGTTATTAGGTTGTTACTTGGACTCGGGTACCCATGTCCGACATGAGTACATTGTCATGTCCAACCGTCCTACTCGGCTATTTTGTGAAAAAATTCCTTGATTTTGAACTAAAAGTGAAGTGTGTGGGTGTCATAACCATGTCTGTCGAGGGTCCGACACAGGTATGTGAGATGAAAAAATGAAGAGTCCGAGTAACATAGTACTTAATAGCATCTGTTAGGATGACCACGTTCTGTATTTCCAATCTTACACATACTCAGATAGCTTCTAAGCATGCTCTTGCCTCTGCTTGTAAGGCTGAATTTGCCGTCCCGTAATTGCAGCCCTGCACCTTATTCTGCTGTAGTCTCTAGGTGCCAGCCAAACCCCATTCTCTTTGGTTTCTTTTCCCAGGTCCCATCAATTTGGATTTTTAGTCTTTCCTTACTCTCTCGAGGCTTGCAATCATAAACCCAGGAGAGTGTTGGGTATCAGAATTGATATAGGTTTGATGTTCTTGTAGCAGAGGGTTAATCAAAGCTATAATCTGGTCACAAGTATTATTTCTTCCTTTGAAGACGTCATTTCTTGGTATCCAAATTGGCCACATTGTTGAAATGAAGAGTGGCACCTGTTCTCCATCACGCCCATCCTGGCTATAGAAGAGCCGGATAAAGTTATGAATCCATTTTTGAATGCAAACTCACTGTTCTCATTAGATCGAATCCCCAAGGTGCCTCCTTGCCAAACTCTCATAGCTGTAAAGCAGAAACATAAGAGATGGTTAAGATCTTTTTCCCCACCCTCACATAAGTCACAATTAAACCCAATATTTATCCCTCTTTTACCAAGAAAGTCCTTAACCGCTAAACCATTATAAAAAAAATTCCAAATGAAAATCTTCCATTTTGGGAGGAGCTTTTGCTTCCACAGGAATTTTAGGAATTCCCCTTCCTCTTTAGAAATTCTACCATTAGTAATAGTAGAATCCATGAGGTAGGCATATCCTGATTTTGTGGAGAATTCTCCTGATTTAGTATGATTCCAAATGATGGAGTCCACTCCTCCCTGGATTTGGAGCTCTATCGAGCCTATCTCATTTGCATCTTCAAAAGTAAGTGCTTCTCTTAACTTACTAGCATTCCAGCTACAGTGCTACACACATTATTGTTAATAAATCGACTTACCTTCCAGGTTGTCGCTTGTCTCATTCTCGAGGTTGTATTATCTAGCACATGCCTGTGAAACTTCGTATTATTTGCCGTCATTAATCTTTTTAATTTGTGTATATTTGGACTTCCATTGTTTATTTTAATTTATGTTTGTAAATTCAAATTATAACAATTTTTGCTCATAAATTCAAATTATATAAATTCTTGCTAAAACTTCCAATTTTATTGCACTTTTAGCATTCTAGGAAAAAAAAAATTATGTCCAAGCTAAGATAGTGATGTAAATGGGATTCGATCCAAGGTCTTGAATATCACCCCTAAGGACTAAGACTTTAACTAATACATCCGAATACAACATAAATGTTAATTTGGGAATTTATATGAGCATGATTACTTATGAGACGAAAATATCTCATCCATCCTTTTTCTACCACTTTCTCACTTGTCCATATAATCTATATCATGACGAATTTATTTGCATTAAACATCACCCAAATTCATGAACAATAAAAAAACAATCGAGTAATGATAAATTATATCCCATGAGATAAAATTATACCATGCTGAGATGCCATGATATGAAATTTTTTCCTAAGTTGATGTCATGGCATAAAACAAAGTCATGGGTACTGATGCTCTTAGGATAACAACATGAGGTTCTACTAATTTACTGTGATTTGTGATTATTAACATGATCTCATTTAATTAATTTTCTTCATCTTTGGATGCACAAAATAGAAATGTGGCATGTTTTATTTGGCACTATAGAGGTTATTTGAGATTGAATGTTCTCTCTTCTTGTAGGCAAAGCGAGAGAATACACAACCTTGCTTTCCATGCACTGGCTCTGGAGCTCGTAAGTCTCTGCACCCATCTATATCATTTTTAGATATGCTGCACATAATGGATATGGCCCTTATTTTATACTTGCTCCATTATAATAGTACTCTGTTATTGACAAGTCATTTCATATTACTGCCTATTACACTGGAGGAAAAGTCTAACAAAACATGCTCCATGTCCATCTCAAATTTTGTCGTCGAATAACTAGTACTAGTGTATGACACCTTATGGCTCGTTGTACTTCTGCCATTTCATACAGCCTTGCATAAATATAAGATGTTGTAACATTCGTACAATAAGGTTCACAGTTGCACACAATTATTAGTGCTCTATTATACAATTATTAGTGGTCTATACGAAGTATTGTTTAGTGATAATATAGCTAATGTGTTGATCAAGAATTGTTTGTGCCTGTGTGGTATTAAGACTAGTCTACTATGGACAGTACACTTTGGCCTGAATATTTTCCTAGCTAACTTCATGATGAATGAATGTGAATAAAAGTCGCACAATCTCATTTGCATGATGAATGAGCTTCATGATTTACGGTTACTAGTTACAAATCTTTCAGAGATTAGCCAAGCAACTTTTGGCATGGTGCATTCTACATGGCTTGTCCTGCCATGCTCTTAAAGTTTTCTAATTAGTAAGAAAATCATGAAATATATGTTGGCAGTAAGTTAATATTATTCTTTTGAAAACTTATTATCCATTTACATTGGAATTCCAGCTATCTTGTGCCTTTTGAGATCATATATATTCACCAGTGAAATTTTGGTTCTATCATGTTCATGGAGTATTAAGCAATCTTCTTCATCATAAAATCCTCGCTTTCTGTTTGTTGTATAGGTTATAATGTTAACATGTACCTCTTCCACAAGAAGTAGTCATGATTTCGAAAATACAAATAAAATATGCTTAGATTTTTAAGCATACCCACTTTTATGTAGAAGGATGTAAAGAAGATAGAATGCAGACTACTGTTATACATCATACAATTGTTGTGAAAACATGGCATAAACCTTAATTATGGAGAATTGGGACAATACGATCTTTATCCCAGACAAACATAGGGAGTGGGTTACAAAATTGATTTTCCAAGATGCTAAGTAAATGTGTAAGAAGGATATATGCTGATGAAAATAAAGTTATTAAAGCCATATCGCTCAAGAAAGCCATTCACGTGTTCCAAATTCTTAGAAATTCTTGTCTTTCAATATCCAACAGTTTAAGTTGTTTAATGCATTGACTACATCTCTTAATCAACTTCTAGCATAAGGCACAAGGTGTGTGGATTAAACCATGTGCTTTTACATATCATTGCAACAATTTTCACATTCGAAACCATATCACACATGAAGTATGTAGCTTGTTCAACCTAAGGATTTTTTTTTTCATTCCTTAGAGAAATGTAGGTTCTGTATGGGAACAGGCAATGTGACGGTAGAACTTGGTGGGGATGAGAAGGAAGTGTCTAAATGTATCAACTGTGATGGCCTTGGTTCTTTAACATGCACTACATGTCAAGGCTCAGGTATTCAACCTAGGTATCTTGATCGAAGGTATGTGCTCTACATCTTTCCTCTTGAATAAAAGAGACAAACGAGGCTCCTATAACATATTAGTTTGTGATAAAATACGATAAATTACGATAAATTTTAATAATTTCAAATAAAGGCGACCAAATACAAATGACAACTAATTAGTTTCTATTAGTTTATAAAGTTCTGTTCAAATGAAAATTAAGTTTTAGCAGCAATTGAAACTAAAAGTGCTACTGAAATTTAATCTTAAATTACGGAGGCACTGTATTTCAGTTTTTATTATAAGCATGAATTGGATCACTATATTATCATGCATATATCACTACCAATATTTCACACAGCATTCCCTGCTTCAAGATAGTCTATTGGAATTAAATGTGAACAATCTGCTGTTTTTTTTTCTTGATAATCAGGGAATTTAAAGATGATGACTAAGGCCAACAACATACACCTTTGCGTTGCGGATACTTATTCAACAGAAGGATTGAGTTAAGCTTTTCTTGTCAAATACCATAGTGTTTATTTTTTGTAATATGCTATACCACATACAAATTGAGTTTCTAACAGCATTCCTGGAAATATTTCTCAATATTCGCATTCGATGATGTAGATTTATTGATCAATGAACCATCGATCAATTTCTTTGTAAATCTATAAATTTTCATATATAATGTTGTAAGTTCCTGCCTCATTGGGTACACCATTAATTGATGTAGATCATAATGGTATGTTATAGCACCCCCAAAAAATTTTAAAAAAAAAAAAATTTAAAAAAAGACACTACTGCTGATATCCTTTTATGAATCAGAGTACATGATTTATCAGAAATGGATTATTCTTTCATCTTGCGGGATAGCAAAATTCATCAGAAAACAGCTTTTTTCTACAACAATTTCATATTTTCATTGATTATCATGTTTAAGCTCAGTAGTCTGGCCATGATTACACATGAAATTTTCGAATTTAGAAACTAACAAGATTGACACATTTGACAGGTTTGGTTACAATCAAAATTTTCCAAGCTAATATAATATAACCACATATAGTGTGTTGGCCTGGAGAATTGTGAAATGAACTATTAGAATGGTTAAGGAAATGAAGTGAACATGAGGTGCTAGCTATGTGTTAGAATCCAACTCAGTTATTATGTTTTAATTGCCTCTATTGCTTTTCTAGACTTATTTTTAAGTTTTCTAGGCTTTAGATACAATTATTGTGTTGCTATCAATTTAGTGTTCATTAGAGATTCTATGTACTTTCAAATTAAAGTTCTTTAAAGGCAAGTGTTTGAATGAAATTCAAAGACATTCTACCTGGTGTTGCTTTAATTTGCTTTTATGCTTGTGTTGTTGGCCGACCTTTATAAATATTGTGTCTGATTGCCATAATAACCTCCTCCCAACTCATTTGATGTTATAACTTATAATAACTTGTGAGTCAGAGAGCGCTTTGTGAGCAAGCAACTCCAATCACCCACATTCCGTCGCCAATAGACGTGAGCTCACTTTGAGACATTGATGCCTCTTTGTGTTACTTTGTGCTCACAAGCCTTGTTTGCGCATAAGGCAAACGTCCTTGCAACTAAAAAGCAAGAGCGCGCTATACGGTTCAGAGCTAAAATACTACTTGTACCATATATGACAGTTGGTATCAGAGCCGTTGTTCAAACCTCGACAATAGATTCTAATGCAAGCACCTAGAAGGCTACACCAAGATGGAAAATCTAGAAGAGTGACTTGCATTGTTCAAAGACAAGGCGGATCAACGGTCCTTTCTCAAGATCAATTTGACCTAGTAGGCCGAGCAATTAAATTGTGAAATTGTTGGACAATAATTATGTGCTTCACAAGCAACTAAACTTTGCTCAAGGAAAAGTTGAAGAAGTACTTGAATAATGTGGAACCTTAATGCACATTGTGGGTAGAGACAATAATGGTGTTGGTGCAGCAAAGATCAAACCTTTAACACCCCACGACTATAGTGGCATTACGAATGCTAAAGAAATTGGAAATTCCTCTTTGGAGCAGTAGTTTCAAATATGTTTATTAAATGACGACAAAAAAAGTGGATATTGTAATCACACGCTGGTCTAATGAAACCAAATTTTGGTGGCGCACAAAGCACGCTGAAATCAAAGCAAGACGATTAAAGATAGATGTATGGGTGGAGTTCAAGAAGGAACTTAAAAAACAATTCTACCCCTGAACAAAAATTTTGTTGCTAGAATAAAGTTACAAGAGACATGACAAAAGGGCTCTCTTCATGACTATGTGAAGGAATACTTGGTGATAATATTAGACATTACAGACACGATTAAGAAAGGTTTAGCGTTCAACTTTTTCAACGGGTTGAAGGAATGAGCACAGTGTGAGATTTTGAGACAAAAGGTTGGTACCCTTGTTGTCGTCATTATTGAAGCTGAAAGATTGATGGACTACATGGTCAAGAAAGAAATAGACAAGTGGGACGTAGACACGCTTTGAATGGATCAGATCCAAGCTCTCCAAAGAATGTAAGGAGTGACTCTTAAGTATTGTCTGATAACTTTGAAGGATACAACAGAAAAAGTAGGGGAGACAATGCGTAGAAATCCACATCGTCCCTTTCCCAAACTTCTACCACTGTCACGTGCCAACTACTTTGCCCTAGTCACGCACCGTGCGCCACCCGCTTACGGCCGTCGTAAGACGAGTCAGACTTTCTCCCTTGGCACTTCTCCTTGTGCCCACGTAATATGTTTGCTAGCACGTATTCTTGGTGCTAATAAGTCCCCTTGGTTGAACTAAGCACTCACCCTTAGTGCCTTAGTCCGAACTTACGACTAAGTGTCTTGAACACACAAGCTATAACCCTTGCTAGTATGCCCGATCACTCACTTGTCACCCTCATGCCTTAGTTTTCCTCACACTCTCTAAGTATTTGAAGGAAAGGATTGAGTTGCAAGAGAACACAAGTGCTTTTGGGAATGCTTTTTGTATTGCTCTCAACTTGAATGTACAAATGAGGCATTGGCGCCTATTTATAGTGCTCCTCCCTACTTACAAGGATTATCTAGAATATTCCTAACCTTCTGAAATGGAGGGTTCTAGGCGACACTTCCTCTGTAAACAAAAATTTACTCAACTGCATACTTTAATGAGGCTCACAAAAATGGTGGGAGTTCAAGCACAAGGAAGAGATTGACAAGTTGTGAATGATGTCATCCATGGAGAAAGGGAAGAACAAAAAACAAGAAGCGATAACGATCGAGCCAAGCTACAGGATTAGTGTCGTCTGTCAAATCAGCGATATGAAATTATTATCCCTAGAAGTCGCAGCGGAAGTTTGACACATATCAACAATGCAAGTGATGGAGCCACAAATGAAGGCAACATCAAGCAAGCTCTCATCAAAATTCCAAATAAGAAGGAGATGAGGCCTAATGAGTTGACAACATAATGTGATCCATATTTTTTGAGATATTAGAGTTTATCATGATGGGCCAATCATTATATTCCACACATAAGTGAAATAGTTTGGGGCATTTCAAATTATTCAACTCAGCAATGCGGGCATAAGCATAAATATTCACCCTTTCATAATCATCATCATTATTATATGTTCTAGGTTAGATGATATCATTTATTGTTTGTATGATATGATTAATCGCCTAGATGATATCATTTATTGTTTAGATAATATGATAAATTGTATGGATGATATCTTTTAGTGTTTAGGTTGGATGATATGAATAATTTGTTAGATGATAACATTCTTTATTTGGATATCTTTTAGAGCCTAGGTTGGATGATTTGATTAAGTGGTTAGATTGTATCATTCATAATTTGAATGATATGATTAATTGTTTGGATAATAACTTTTTGTGTATAGGATAGATACTATGGGCTAGATGATATCATTCATGGTTTGGATGATATCTTTTAGTCTCTAGGATGGATTATATAATTAATTGGCTAGATGACATGGTTTATAGTTTAGATGATATCAATAACTACTTGGATAATTTCTTTAATTTCTAGGATGGATGGTATCATTCATTGTTTGGATAATATCTTTTAGTGTTTAGGCTGGATGATAATAATTAGCTATGATATCATTAGTTTTTCTAGGTTGAATGATATTATGATGATATTTATAATTGCCTAAGCTAGATGATATGTATGAGTAATTAGTTGAATGACATGGTCAATTATCTGTATGATATTTGTAACTATTTGGATGATTTCATTATGATTGGTTTAACATTTTTAAAGTTGGGCTTTCCTTATTTAAGGTTTGGCACACAAAGCAATTGGTGAGACAAGTCTCACCCAATACCTTCTCTTTATACATATGTATATATTATTTAACATTTGTTTGTTTACTTGGATAATGTTAAAAAAAATGAAATGTAAATTGAAGAATAAATTTGGAATGTGATATTTGAAATCTTTTTTATGTAATGTTTTATGAATATTTGCTACATTCTCATGATATAAATAATATGTATTATTTTTTAAAATTTGGAAACGATAAATATAAAATATAAATCAATCAAACAAAGCCTTACTCCCTAAAGTGAGATCGGCTACATGATCAAAAGTGATTATTTTGTATAGTCATTCGTAAAACTCTTCCTCCTCCATGCTCCATCCCTTACGATCAAATGCCTCTATTATCTTGGATGATATACTACAAGAGGGGGAGGGGGTGAATTCTAGTATGTTCCTAGTGCCTACTTTTTGCGGAATATAAAACTGATTGTTGTTAGGAAGTTAGACAATGCAAAGCGGATTTTACGAGGAAACCACCTAGGGCCTAATTGGAAGTAAAACCTCGACCCTCCAAGGGATTCAAGCCAAACCAATCCACTATAATAGGCCAAACACTCCTAGTTACAGCCTATTACAATCAGACCTTTCTCACAAGTTCCTGACTGAACTTGCTACACGATAGGACCCTATCCTACCCAATCTAAGTCCCGGACTTAGATTTACACAACACTCATAGAGTTATTCACCCGGCCTCTCATTTGAAGTTCACTCGGCTTCACTCTAGAAGCTCACACTTTGCACTCATACAATTATGATAACGAGACTCCTCATGAACTCTCACACCCCAATACATAAAACACTTAAAACCCTTTTTCCAATAACAAGATCTCAAAGAATAGCTCTAAATACATATCAATGAATAAAGTGATAAAACTAACATGCTGGACACTTAAGATCTGTCTAGAACTAACTGGACGAAATCAAACCGAACCCTGACTAGAACTTTGACCTGGAGGTTTGACTTAGCTTCGTGGTGAAGGATTAAACCATTAAGCACGACCACTGCACTTCGTCAACCTCAACTTTGATTGAATACATATGAGCATATTTATAGTACACCAAAATCATTCTTTTCGTAAAAGTTAAATTTATCAAAAGATATGTTTAAAAGATTTTAAAAGATATTTTCAAAAATTAAGTTTTCCAAAAATATATCTTTTTGTTAAGAATATATTCTTTCAATAATAATAAGATATATTTACCATAAAATCATATTTTATTTCAAACTCATATTTTCCAAATATACTAGCTTATCTTTTTCTAAAGATATACTTATCATAAAATTAGATTTTATTCAAAACTTATTTTTGTTGAAAATACTTTTCAAAATAACTTATCTTTTTCTCAAAGGGATTTATTAGAAAATAAACATCTTTAT